TTAAAAGTAGAAGTACCAGAGTGTAGGAATACTCTGTTACAGTAAAAGTCCTGCATTCAAAATGTTCCTCAAGTGAAAGTCGAAAAGTATTCTCATCAAAATATAGTGAAAGTAGCGACAGTAAAAGTAGTCGTTGTGCAGATTGGTCAATTTCAGAATAATATATATGATATGTTTTATAATGATTGATCATGAAAGTGTTCTCAAAGCTGGTAAAGGTGCAGCTAGTCTGAATGACTTTGTATACTGCAGGGTAGCTGGTGGATTTACTCCAGGTGGAACTAAAGTCTGATTCAACACTTGATTAGATTTCACATCATTCATCTGTGAAGTAACTGAAGGTATTAAATACATGTAGTGGAGTCAAAGTACACCATGTACTTCTGACTTATGTTTACTGCCAACCTAAAAGTACCTCAAAAATAGTAATCAATAATGTATTGAAAAGTTATTTGGCTGATTGTTTTATATTGGCTCAGCCAGGTTATATGGGAGGCCCAGTCTACGTACAGATCACTCATTTTGAAATATTAAACTTACTTTTCTTTTCTTTAATTGTTCATCCTCGTGTAGAAGGCTATCACGAAACACACATTTGGTTGTTTATAGCATAAAGAACATCTGATTTAATGTGAGGTAGGGAAATAATCATTTGAGTATGTGTATATAAATATGTAATTTACAACAGCTGTAAGATGCTTGAAAAGCTGGAAAATGCACCTTGAAAATGCTTGAAAAGTGCTTGAATTTGACTTTGGAAAAGGTGTAAGAACCCTGTATATATAAATATATATATTATACTGCACTTTCATCACGATATTTTTAAGTGACTTAGTGTATCTTCTCATTTGAAATAGCATTGTCAACATACTGTAGAACTACATATACCAAACAGTTGAAAAAAAGTAATACTTTTTGCTGTGTTTCTGTTTTACAGTGGGGCGAAGTGGAAACATTCCTGGGAGCCAAAGGAAAACTTTCCTAATTAAATATGCCTGACTTTTGTTTTTCTACATTGGAGTAATAAAATACATATTTAAAAAAACATCTATGTAAGTGCCGTGCCTATTTGTGTTCTTATGTTATCAGTGAGCTGAAGCCAAGACAAATACAAATATGTTTTAAGTGTATCCATACAAACTCATTCTCTAAAACTGTCATGTTTGGTCTGTTGAATGACACCCATGAGGAAAAAGGTCCTATACATTATATCACATCGGCAGGGCTGTGATGTGATGAGGCCCTCGCGAGCGTCGACTGGGGGTGGTGGTGGTTTGTAAACCCCGGACACACCAAGCCGATTACAGCTAGTGGAGCCTCGCAGCAGAAACTGTGGCGCACTCAATTGCGCCGCATTTGCGCATCAGATGAGGCTCCCTCCACAAGATGAGGGCGAGAGGCAGACGCAGTCTGTGTGATCGGCGTGTAGGGAGGAGCGGGCCTGCACATCGGCATATCACAGACTGGTGCATACATTGTACAGGCGGCAATTTGAATTGGAATGCAGCCCACTCACGGCAGACAAACCCAAACACTTTTGGAACACGCCACCTCCAGACGCATTAACATGCACTCCCCTAACTTTCCCCTAATCTGACATTGTATTTCATTCCATAACATCTTATCAACAGAGAAAATGAAGGGTAATCAAATAATAAAACATGTCACTCATATCACTTTCTTTCTTACTGTACTTGTCATTTTTATATCCTATATATTCAAGCTGCATTTCAACTTCAATTCTTGGCGATAATACAAAAAAATATTCACATTTATTTTTGGATTATGTCTATGGGGGGCCGTTAGGGACATTATTCAGAAATACTGTTCACATGTGAAACACACTGAAACCAAAATCATTTACAAACATGTACAAATCTCTCATATGCGATGGAAACTTCTGAAGCAATGGAAACTGGACTCAGAGAGACACGAGGAGAGCAGGAACTTTGATGGCAAACACTGATGGTTTATTCACAAGACATGTTGTGTGACACGAATTGACACAAAAGATTCCAAACCAATTCTGAAGATCTCTACCCCAGACCCATATGTAGCTAGTTCTGAGAGAAGAATCAACATTGTGCATAACGAGATAAAACCAACACCTCTATCAGCTGACGCCAACAGGCAGGAACAGGGAGACAAAACACTGAGAGCACAGCAGCCAAGGATACAGGTGCCTGGGCTCAGTCAGGACAAAACTGATCAACTGTCTCAAAGTTATTGGCCTTGAAAATATTTCGCCAACAATATATACATATGAAACGCTCTCACACACACACACCATATGAAAGGTTCCAGGATAATAGATCAACTCAGTGAAAGCACCGCCTGGTGACCAATCAGAGCTCAGTGTGCAGAGTCGACGTTCGCTACACACAGGGCCTCATCATATAACTTTGCGTGGGGCCACAAGTTGGCCAGGGGGTGCATGCAGAAGTATTATTTTAAGCAACACATTACTGATCTTAGATTTATTTTTCTGATAGAAAGGGACACCTAGTGGTTAAAGCACGTTATTGAATTGTATTATTTTTCACAAAAATGAAACCATCAATAGCAAAAACTGAATTAACTGTCATTAGTAAACCACTCAAATAAAAAGATCATAAGTGGTTTTGTTTTACATATATTTTAAGGATAATAATAGCAATGTAATTATGTGTCTATGACACTTATAACACTGATTTGAAAAACATACAGAAACAATTAATTCACTGCCCTTAATAAAGTATTTAAATATACATTTCAGGTGTGCTGTTTTGTTAAGTAATGGATATTGAATATGGAATAAAGGTTTTGACAAGACCTGGTGTAACAATAATCAAAAAGGACATTAAAAGAGCTCCAGATGTTAATTATCTGTTTTTGCAAAAATAAAGTACACAAAGTTGATTCTCGACTCTTTAAACACAGGTGATTGTATTCTTGTAAAAGTAACAATAACAAGCTCCATTTTCTATCTCCAGTCCGACTCATATTAATATGCAATGTGTTTGGTTCTATGCAAACTCAGTAATATCCATTGTGATACAGTTATAAGGCCTTCACATGAGACTGTCAGTGGAAATTAAAGGGGATCAGGAGCTCACGTCTTCTCAGAGTCATCATCATCATCATGTTCTCTGCTGCTGCTGCTGCTGCTGTTGCTGCTGCTGCTGGCAGCTGGAAGTGAGTCAACACTTATTATACTGCTGTTTAACAGGATAATCTGTCATATAACATTTTTTTTATTTGTACAGGTGTGAAGTGTGAACAGTTGACACAGCCAGCCTCTGTGACTGTGCAGCCAGGTCAACGTCTGACCATCACCTGTCAGGTCTCTTATTCTGTTTAATAATAATAATAATAAAATTCAATAACGTGCTTTAACCACTAGGTGTCCCTTTCTATCAGCTGTGCACCGTTATGGTGTAAATACAGCCTATCTACCAATTGGATCAAATATAAAAGTCAGCCGAATTAGTGTTGATACTGCAAGGAGACGTATTGTGTGAAAAGAAATGTAAGATGTTGTTTAATTGCTGATATATGTATGATCCACTTCACGTTTTCAGTTTTGGCGGCATTTCTCCTGTTTGTCTAGAAGTCTTCTCAGCAGGGCTCTATAAATAAAGAACTACGGCAGATATGTAATATTTAATGCAGCCGAACCGTGTATTACAATGCCGTTATGTGATGACTTTCAAAGAGAAAAGCAAGCACACTCAGAATAAAGTATTATTTTAATGTTTTCGGATTTCACATCGCATAAACACCATTTCCCAACGTGCATTGCGGCTAAACCATCGAATCACCGAGCTGAGGTCTGTTTCCGGTATTGTTTTTGACAGATGTATTTTGTTATACACACACATTCCTTCACATTTAAATTTACATTAAAGTATTTCGTGAGGCCATATAAAATGTTTTTAAATATGACTACTGTTCGAGTTGAAGAGTTTGTAAATTAACATGAACCGAAGCTGTTGCCTGGTAACACAAACGCACAACGTCACGTCCGTTAATTCCACATCCACAGATTAACATCGATTTAATAAATTAATGTAGCCTTTGTTTCTGCTAAAAGAGGTGTCGACCAGCAAATCAAGAAAATCGGCGAAATCGAGTGTGACTATTACAAATTAAATCATTATTTTATTAATATTGATAATAATAACAACCGACCGTCGGGGTAGCATTTGCTTGGCATTTCCGGGTATATCTCCACTGGTTGGGCCATGTTAACAATACTGTGTAATTGTCACGTTTGAAGGGACAACATCGTGACATCTTCACGTCTCCCAGCATGGTAAATCGTCACATGTTCACGTCTTGCCTTGATACCGGGTTGTGCTGACCATGTCCATGCCTTTATGACAACAGTGTACCAATCTTCTGATGGCTACTTCCAGCAGGATAACTCACCGTGTCACAAAGCTCAAATATTCTCCAACTGGTTTTGAACATGACAATGACTTTTACTCAAATGGCCTCCACAGTCACCAGATCCAAATCCTACAGAGCACCATTGGGATATGGTGGAACCAGAGATTTGCGTCATGGATGTGCAGCTGACAAATCTGCAGCAACTGCGTGATGCGATCAGGTCAATATTGAGCAAAATCTCTGAGGAATGTTTCCAGTAGCCTACCTTGTGTAATCTATGCAATGAAGACTTAATGCAGTTCTGAAAGCAGATGGGGGTCCAACCCATCCTAGCAAGGTGTACCTAATTAAGTGGCTGGTGAGTGTATTACTTAGGTCCATTTGTATTGTTAGTGTGTGTCTGTAGGAGTAAAGTCTAGACACATTCTTTGGATGTAAGCATTGGTTAATTAAACAGATCATGATAATAAGGGTAATCACCAAAACCTTATACCAGGGGTGGGGAACCTCCGGCCCTCGAGGTAACTCGGATCCGAAGGTGACTGATAACTGCTAATGGCATTTAGTTGAATACCAGACATAGTAAATGCAAAGCAGGATAATACAAAAAAAAGGTAATAAACAAGCCATTAAATCGTAATACTCGTTTTAATACGTTCACATGCATACAACACAATACAATAGACTTGTTAAGTCCTGTTCGTTGTCCTGTTTGTTGTCCTCATCACCGTCGTGTTCGTTGTCCTCATCACCGTCCTGTTTGTTGTCCTCATCACCTTCCTGTTTGTTATCCTCATCACCGTCGTGTTTGTTATCCTCATCACCGTCCTGTTCGTTGTCCTCATCACCTTCCTGTTTGTTGTCCTCATCACCGTCGTGTTCGTTGTCCTCATCACCGTCCTGTTCGTTGTCCTCATCACCGTCCTGTTCATTGTCCTCATCACCGTCTTCAATGTCTTCCTCCATCATGAGAAAAGACGAGTCCGTGCCAATACAGCTGTAGGTGCTGGTGACTCTGCTCAGTTTCTGCTCCAGAAGATATTGATGGTGTAAAAGACAGCAGTGCAGTCCCCTGTATCCCTCTTCTGTTATATCGCTTGGAGAAACTAAAATAAAAAGACAAAATGACAGTCTATGTAAGGCAACTTTTAATTAGCATTGATGTTGGTTCCATATAAGCAATTTTAATGTTTAACTCCGAGGCTGTATATTAGCTAAAAAGATTTGTGATTCAGAAAAAATGCAATCATTACAGATGCTATTCAGTGACAGACGTTTGACACTGACCAGAAGGGGCAGTGGCAAATGTTATAAATCGGTATTTGTGGAACATACTTTGGTTCCTGATGTCGTCTTTTGTCTGATGAAGGAGGTGGTCCAGTTTGTCCAGTGCCTGCCTCAGATTTTGACAATGCTGGGTCATCTCCTTCACAATGATGACTTTCTTCTCTTCCATACGCCTGACCAGCATAACCTGGTCAAAAAGTCGCCTCTTTGTGCGCAGGTTCACCACTATAATGGAAAAAAAAACAAAATATGACAACACAAACACAATGGTAAGGCTAATAAAACAAATAATATCTGTTTGCATTCAATCTTTTTAACTTAAATTGCCCAAAACCTTGAAATCTGGTAAAAAATGTCCAATCTCGCCGCTTGCTGAATTTTTTCAATTCTGTCTATGTTGGCAGAATTACATTCAGTATGTCTTGAGATTCAACATTAGTATGCAGTTCAGGGTGGTCAGGAAGGGTTTTACTGTTTCCATAGATGTGCCTGTCCCAGTGAGACTATAGCATGACTATTAAGACTTGATAGGGCAACATCATACAGACCTTTCAATATAATTATTTCAAAATGCTTTGTTGTGATCATGATGATTTGTGACACCTATGTTGACAGCTCTGTGTTACATTGGTGATTGTATTCTAGTACTACAACTGCATTTATGGAATATCTAGGGCAAACAAAAACAAGTTGTTTCTTACCATCTCCTTGCGCTTCCCAGGGCAGAATGACATCCTCAGACAGACTGCATGCTGCTTCTGTGTCAATTGTCTCTGTACAGGTATCAATGGTGTTGTAATGAAAGCTTTAGCGCAAGTTCAATAAGGAAGACCTAACTCGAGTCACTCACACGTCACTCTATGGCTCCCTTCCCCCCTCATTAAATATGAGGGCGTCACGCCTCAGCAGCCAATCGCTGCACATGCTAAATGCCTTAAATACCTGCTCTTCCTCCCTGTCAGTTGTCATTGCAGATGATCACACGCAATGGTAGTTGCAATACAATACTGCTTCTCGTGAGAAAAACCGTAAGAAACAACTAGCTCAAGATGTCCAACTCGGACAATTCGGAACACGAACCTTCTCTGGAAGTCTCCGATCCCGGTTCGGCTCCCCACAGCGGCTTATCAACAGAGGAAGACTTCCTCATCGCCCGGCTCCTGCAGCAGGGCTTTCCCACAGCCCCAGGCCTCACTCTCTCTCAGCGGCGATAGCTCTCGGACCAGGTCTCCAGCGTAGCTCCCCAGTCCGGGGCAGCAGCTCCAGCCAGCTTCCCAGAGAGCAGGACGAGGACGCAGCCGCGGAGGTAAAAAAGGGCAGGAAGTCGAGCCCTCCAGGATCCCGTCCCCCTCCAAAAAATCCACCCCTTCTCAGGCTCGCCAGTCCGGGAGCGTCACACACCCCTATGGAGAGTAGCGCGGCCGGCTCCCTGCAATCCCTGGCTAGCTCCATGATAGCTATCGATGCTCGCCTCCAGGCTCTGGAAGACTCCGCCACAGGAGCTTCAACTTCCGTTGCACTCAGGTACTAGTTTTAACGAAAACGTTTGCACTCGACCCTTACACAGGGTTGGGTTGTAACGGAATACATGTAACGGTGTTACGTAATCGGAAGAAAAAGAAAGAAAAAAAAAAAAAAAATCAGTATATTCAGCTGGCGTTACATTTGAAAAACGAGTAAACTGAGTGCAGTTACTTTCGTAAACCTGAAGTGAATACTTATTGGAATTATTGGTGGAAAGTTTCCTCACAATGTAATATTCATTACCGGCAGAACCGTGTGCACAGCGATGCAGCGTATCTGCGAGCGAGAGATGCAGCGTGTCCGTGAGGCCCCGCCCCGCACGCAGATGAGAGAGAGAGAGAGAGAGTTCTCTTTCAAAACATATTGGAAGGTAGAAACGGAGATGTTTAGATAAAACGTGGAAGATAACGTTTATGTAGCATTTATTTATTGTCGAAATGATGACATTCATAACGGGATCAAATCTAACTGAATGGCCTGCTGCTGCCGAATGCATGGGACAAGTAACTGGGAAAAGTTTTAAAAGTGATTACATCGTTTCAGATAATACATAATAATGATAATGTATTCTATTTAGGGGTGCCTTTCAAAGCACCCAAGAACACCTTACAATGCATAAACTTTTCCAAGGAAAGGTTTTAAGACAGTACAAAGAATGCAGTCTGGGTGAGTTTTTCTTTTTATGTGCGGTGCAGATGAGAGAGCTGTCAAGAATGACACTAAAATGTTGTGTTCGTGCTCTTCATAAGCCATTAAAACAGTAAAATATGTGTCTCTCGTTCACCAAAACATACCCATCTGTTATGGAAAAGAAAGTATTCTAAAGAGAAAGCAGAAAGAAGAGGAAAAGATAGAAAGAAGAGGAAAAGGAGAAAAGAAAAGATAAAAAGAAGAGGAGGGAGGAAGAAAAAGAAGAGGAAAGGAAGTATTCTAAAAGTAATCTGCCACCGGTACCGGCGGGATCGTGGTTAGTTTCCGATGCGCAGAAGAAAAATCTGGCCCACCCTATATTTTTACAGGCCCACCCTAAAGTAAATTTCTGCCTACGCTACTGGTCCGCACAGCAGCAACAACCAATCACATGAATCTCTTGCCCCCGACACACAAAGCAATAGCAATGTTAAAACTAAGTAAACTGGAAAAAAAAATAAAAAATCCCCAACAGGCGAAAACCTACCAGTTTCACCCACTGTCTCTGCCTCCTCCCTCCATGCCTCGCTCCTCTGGTTTGTATCCCGGTAGATGAACAGAGACTGATCATACAGCACCGGGTGATTCACTACCGCCATAATGCATTTTCCCTCACATTTTTGGAATATGAGGAATTACCTGCGTCGTCTCTCCCAACATACACGCGGTCTGATTGGCTAGCGCTTGTACCGGCAGATTTGCATAAACGGGATTTCATTGGCTGACGCTTCTGCCGAGGCGCCAAAAGTTGAACATTGCTCAACTTCTTGAAGCGAGCAACGCCAGCAAACGCTCCACGTCGCTTCCCAAAATACAGTTCTACTAAAAGTGACGTCACCCCACTCAAAGTGAATGGGCAGAAGTGTTTGGAAGCTGTAACGCACGCCACCGTGTGGACGGGCCGTCACAGTGGCTCTGCGCCAGAAACATCAACAAATAAATAAATAACTAAAAAAATAAAAATAAAAACATTCTGGAATATCACCCCTCCACTCCCATTAACATCCCTCAGCTAGCAGCTGCGCTATCTACAGATTCCGTGTTTGTTGACTATCTCCCGTCAGGGCTCTCCCAAGGCTTCAGGGTAGGGGTCCTCCCATCTCCCACAGTGACTTTCGTAGCAAGAAACTTACAGTCAGCTGCTAAAGAACCCAACATAGTTTCCCAGCTCATCGACAAAGAACTTCTCAAAGGATATATAATCGGTCCTTTTAGCTCCTCCCCCTTCTCAGTGTTCCGTTCAAATCCCATCGGAATAGCCACACGTAAATAAAAGGCTGATTTTCGATCTGTCCGCTCCCTGCTCCGGCCCATTCTGCAGCGTCAATAGCATCATCCCTCCAGATCAGTTCTCCCTTCACCATGCCTCAGTGGATAATGCAATAAAGATGATCAAGTTCACAGGGCACGGAGCTCGGCTCTCCAAAGCGGACATTACCGATGCCTTCAAATCATCCCCATTCATCCATCTCAGTGGAACTTGTTCGGTATTAAGTGGGAGTCCAAACTCTATCTTCGCGTTCGCCTGACCTTCGGGTGCAGAAGCAGCCCCTGCATCTTCAATTCCTTTTCGGAAGCGCTCTATTGGATCCTGCTGAACATCGTCAGAATCCCCTCCGTCCTTCACCTACCGGACGACTTCCTCCCCATAAACCCGCACAGGACAGCTCAGGGATCTCACTGGCCAAGCTTAAACACTGCTTCAGGAGTGAGGTGACCCTCTCTCCAAAGAGAAAACGTTAGGTCCCGTCACACGCTTAGAGTTCTTAGGCATCATCCTCGACTCCATAGACATGAAGGCGTCTCTCCCCTCCGACAAATCGCAGCGCATCCAGGACATCACCAAGTCATACTGCGAGCAACAAGTTATCACAAAACAACAGTTGCTCTCCCTTCTCGGACACCTCAACTTCGCCATGCACGTCATCCCCCAGGGGCGCTCGTTCATCTCCCGCCTCCTGGACGCAGCATCAGCGGTCGACAACCTCCATGACTGCGTTTTCTTAGACGAAGGCTGCCGTTCAGACCTTCGGTTCTGGTCCCTCCTGCTCGCCCACTGGAACGGAATTACTTTATTTTACGATGGCCTCGTGTGTTCCTCTGACTCAATGAGGTCTTCACGGATGCCGCCCATCCATGGGTTTTGGGGGGTTTCTTCCAGGGAGAGTGGTTCGCAGGGTCATGGCCCCGTCAATTTCTACCCAAGACGGTGGTCCTCCTCCGCCTTCACAACCTTCATTCGTCCGGACATCAGCGCCGTACGGGCTTCCCAAAGATCTCTCAGACCCTAACTATGGTAGTTATACATATAACTGGTGGTGGCTCAAACACATTCACAAGTATACATGTCTCACTAAGGTTCCCGATATTCAAAACTGCATTCCTGTCCTAATTCCGCGGGCCCCGCCCACAGGGAATAATGTCTCGTCTCACGCCGCAACTACAGGTAACGGGCTTCATCTCCGGCACACAGGTATTTCATTCCCAGGCCCTGCTCAAACGCATCAGTGTAAAATGTATTTCCTGCAGTCCGCGTGGACTCGGGCCACCGTACACTCCGGTGTCAGTTACAAAACAAAGGAAATAAAGAAAGAGTAAAGATATATATATATATATATATATAGCCTGCGAAGTCAGGCGTGGCGGAAGGCCACCGTACACTTCGGTGCCAGTTACAAAACAAAGGAAAATAAATGAAGAGTAAATAAAAAAAAAAATATATATATATATATATAGCCTGCGAAGTCAGGCGTGGCAGAAGGCCACCGTACACTTCGGTGTCGTAGCGGAAGGCTACCGTACACTTCGGTGTCAGTTACAAAACAAAGAGTAAAGAAAATATATACATATATATATATATATATATATATATATATATAGCCTGCGAAGTCAGGCGTGGCGGAAGGCCACCGTACACTTCGGTGCCAGTTACAAAACAAAGGAAAATAAATGAAGAGTAAATAAAAAAAAATATATATATATATATATATATATATATAGCCTGCGAAGTCAGGCGTGGCAGAAGGCCACCGTACGCTTCGGTGTCGTAGCGGAAGGCTACCGTACACTTCGGTGTCAGTTACAAAACAAAGAGTAAAGAAAAAATATACATATATATATATATATATATATATATATATATATATATATAACCTGCGAAGTCAGGCGTGGCGGAAGGCCACCGTACACTTCGGTGTCAGTTACAAAACAAAGGAAAAAGAAATAAAGAAAAAAATAAAATATATATATATATAGCCTGCGAAGTCAGGCGTGGCGGAAGGCCACCGTACACTTCGGTGTCGTAGCGGAAGGCTACCGTACACTTCGGTGTCAGTTACAAAACAAAGGAAAGAGTAAAGAAAAGATATATATATATAACCTGCGAAGTCAGGCGTGGCGGAAGGCCACCGTACACTTCGGTGTCAGTTACAAAACAAAGGAAAAAGAAATAAAGAAAACAAATATATATATATATATATAGCCTGCGAAGTCAGGCGTGGCGGAAGGCCACAGTACACTTCGGTGTCGTAGCGGAAGGCTACCGTACACTTCGGTGTCAGTTACAAAACAAAGGAAAGAGTAAAGAAAAGATATATATATATAACCTGCGAAGTCAGGCGTGGCGGAAGGCCACCGTACACTTCGGTGTCAGTTACAAAACAAAGGAAAAAGAATAAAGAGAAATATATATATATAGCCTGCGAAGTCAGGCGTGGCGGAAGGCCACCGTACACTTCGGTGTCGTAGCGGAAGGCTACCGTACACTTCGGTGTCGTGGACGTTGGGCCACCGTTACAAAACGAAACCGCTCGCTCCTCGGCGTAGTCAAGCCCTGCTGGCCAGGCATGCGACCCGCAGGTCGTTTTCAGATAAGACCGGCACTGATTTCGGCAGTCAGAGTCTCAGCATGACCAGTAAGCTCCGGCAGTGATTCCGGCACAGTGTCGCTCATATACGTGTTAATCTATTATCTCTCCTCCCCAGATCACCAGTCACCCCACAAGGTAAGCAACTCAGTTCATCTCAGTATTCATACTTCACTGGTTTTGGGGATTTCATCGGAGCGGTGCTTTCCCTCCTGAATGATTATCCTGCAAACCGGGGGCCTAATCGCCAAACACCATTACATTCTCCTGTTGTACTATCATGGCAATCATTTCATTCATATGACGTGTAAACAATAAATATGTAATTCTTACATCACGTCTCTCCGGTTTGAAATGAAAGCTTTAGCGCAAGTTCAATAAGGAAGACCTAACTCGAGTCACTCACACGTCACTCTATGGCTCCCTTCCCCCCTCATTAAATCAACAAGTCCTCCAACTAATACGACCAAATAGGTCGATTGTTTTCCGACCCAAATACGACCCATAGCCACGTTTTAAAGTGTAGCACCTCTAGTGGTCGTGTAAGAAACAACATGCTCCCGTCTATTCATTTCTATTAGCAACTCCTGGCGGATCGTAATCCCGTGAACTTTAACCTTGCGCATCAATAAAAGTGCGACGAGTGAAGAAGAAGAAGAAGAAGAAGAAGAAGAAGAAGAAGAAGAAGGGGAACCGGAAGTGGTAAAATGCTAACTCACCGGGGTTTTTTGGACTCGTCACTGCATCACTGACAACATCCATTTATTTCCTACAGACAAGCTAATAAAGGTGAGTAGTCGGATTTATTTTGTCGTCTAGTACAGTGACTAAGATTACTATGTTTACCTAGGAATAATGATAGCAAAGCTAAATTAGCCAAAAGTAGAATTAGCTAACGTTAATGTGAGCATGGAAGTTATGTGATCCATCGGTTCATGCGGTTTATCCAAATGTTATCACACGTCACATTCTTTATAACTATATTAAATACTATTTTCTAATTTCTATATTCTTGAGCACCTGCCCCTATAAATGTCTGTGCACGCCACTGAGTAGGGGTGTAACGGTACACTTACCCGTACCGAAATTATTCGGTATGGGCCCTTCGGTTCGGTACACGTGTGTACCGAAGTGTACCGAACGAATATAACGTTAAACGTAAAAAAATTAGAACGTGAACAACTTTTTGGAAGTAATCTCAGATCGCAGCATTCAGAGTAATTTGCTCACATTGGGTTCAATGCGTCATAGAGCGAGCAAGTCATTTCATTGGACGAGAGGCATACTATGAGAGCTGGTCACAGGGATGCGTTCACATTTAGTCAGTAATTTGAGGAACTGTTGAAATGGCGCACGCAGATAAAGTTGAGCTCGAAAATCCTCCAGCATCATTGAAGTCTCCGGTTTGGGAACATTTTGGTTTCGCAGTTACGTACAAGAATGACGGACAAAGACAGGTGGACCGAACCAAAGCTGTTTTGTCGGCATTGTTCAACTACAATTGGTTACGCGGCTGGCAATACATCAAACTTGCACAATCATTTGAAAAGGCATCACCCGGACGTGAATATCACCGGTACCAAAAGAAAAAAGGCTGAAGTGCAAACTCCCACTAGCATTTAAGGCTCCACCACTCGCAAAAAGTTTAGACCGAGCCAAAGCTATTACAAACGCCAAATATCCTTATGTTGCCATGTTAGCAAAGCGCTACCTGGCTGTATCTGCTACCTCTGTCCCTAGCGAGAGGGTGTTCTCCAAAGCAGGAGACATTGTTAGTGCCAGCAGATCTGCCCTTTCGGCAAGTAATGTGGACAAGTTAATTTTTCTTTACAAAAACATGAAAATACAATGACAAGCAAGTCATAATGTCAAACTGGCTGCATAGGTACTAGTACAGTACAGTTAAAATACAGATTATTTCAGTTCATCGAAATGCTGCACCTTAATGTTTATTTTATTATATTTTGTATTTATTTGAGTGAATATTCACAGTTTAATAATAATTAAAAACCCAAAAGTAATAGTCTATGTTTTGTGAGTACTAGTGCAGTAAAGTTCAAATACAGATTATTTCAGTTCATCGAAATGCTGCACCTTAATGTTTATTTTATTATATTTTGTATTTATTTGAGTGAATACATTATTCACAGTTTAATAATAATTAAAAAAAATATATATATTTTATGTTTTGTGATAATTTGTTCTGCTGTACCGAAAACATACCGAACCGAACCGTGACCTAAAAACCGAGGTACGTACCGAACCGAAATGTTTGTGAACCGTTACACCCCTACTGGCTAGTACAGTAAAAGTTATTTTGCCTTTCATCTGAAACATTCCTTTGCTGCAACACTATTCATTTTCCTAGCCATAGCTGACAGGAATCAAGCACATATAAGCAAGTCACTCTTATGTCAGTTGTAATAAAATGCAAAGCAATAATTATCAAGTCAATCCAGTCGGAAGGGTTCTCCAAGCCACATTGCTACACATATTCCAATTACTTGTATATTGACTCTTCTTGCAGTATTTATATTCTATTGCATTTGTATTTATTTGCACTATTGTATCTGTTTTATTGTGTTGCACTGTTGGAGGAGCCTGTGACATAAGATTTTCATTGACATATCTACACTATGTACAAATGACAAAAAAAGCCTTGAATCTTGAATCTGTTTTTTTATTATCCTTATCAGGTTATATATTACAAAGGTTGAAAATGGTATAGTTTATGGATGAAATGTTTTGCTGACAAAGCAACCCTACAACAAACATGTGAACTGTGCAACTTTTGTCAAGTGAACATGTTGTGCTGTTCTCTGATGTTAGGTTAATCTTTCACGGCAACACATGAATTAACATTTAACAGGTCACCCTTATAACAGTAATAACAGAAACCTGTCTGTCTCTAGACAAATGCCAGAAATTACTTTAGCCATATCCAGTCTGAAAGTTCAGTCAGGTTATTTATTACCATGGCTAAACATTTTTGGGGAATGCAAAAACTTGTTGACTGGTCACTTGCATTTCCACAATACACAGCGTTTATTAAATGTGTGGGGTTTTTTTTGCATTAAAAAAGGTAACACACCTGTTGCATTCTATCATGAAATTAATGTATGTAATGAAAAAAAAGTTGCAACAGTTATTTGACATTTGACAAAACTTGTGTTATTAAATATTATTGTAAGGATATTTTCTGGTTCCCTTTTAAGCTAACATACATATCCACAAGCAGATTTAAACTTCAAGTTTTCATTCAACCATTTCAGTTACAAAATAGATGTTTGGGAAAATGAAAGAGTGATGTTTTCAAATGGCAAAAAATGTGTTAAACAATGAGAAATCTTAACAATACTAACACAATTCAAAAGCGATATTCACATAATATAACTTTCATTAATGAAGTGCTAGATTGTCAAAGTGGACTTTCAAGATGTTCCAATCGTATTGTTGTTTATTTTCCAGTGCATTGACACTTAAACCTGTTATAAAGCAATAAAAAGGAAGAAAAACATTACTGGCTGCATGGTAAGGACTGTGATTTCAAGGCAAGACATTCATGCTGTGTGATAATAGTGCTCAAACTACAGTTAATGTATTAAGATAATCTCAATCCTACTGGAATCAAGAATTATTTGGCATTTTTGCATTAAAACGCTTTTTATTAATTTTCTGTTCATCTTTTTGTCAGTATAGCATGCCAAGTAAAAAGGAACATATTTAAGAGTAACAGAAAGTCAAATGAATAATGTTTTAAAATGTGAATTCTGTTTAAGAAGTACCCCATAGTTATTAAATATGTTAACCATCATTTATTACTTTATATCTAAAAATGAGGTTGGCATTAAAGAAGCTTCATAACTATTTCCTAAGGTACCCACCTTTCTCTCTTATGCATCTGTGTCATAGTTTCAGGTAGAGGTTTTCCAAAACTCTCCGGCAGGAAATAAGCAGCGATGGCAGCCACAACAGCCAGAGTCGACAGTATAATATAAGGAAGATATAATATGTATGTATCTAAAAATTGAAAGGGTAAGGTTTAGATTGGAGAAAAGTCTGGGGGCTTTAGATGAAGTTATGTCAGAGTGTGTGTAAGGCTCTCAAACTTGCTGAAGATATAACAAACTGGACGTGCATTAATGCAGCAAAAGCAAATGTACTCACTCAGCTTTATTACAAAAGGTGCTATACATGATCCCACTCTGGAGACAGTCGTGCACGTCCCTATTGCTGTGTTCCTTAGCACTGTTGGGTAAAGCTCTGTCAAGTATGTGAACATCAGGGAGAAAGTAGCGGTAAAAGCATATTTACCGAACATCTCCAGTGCAATACAGAGATTGGGTAGACCTACAGAATAAAGAAATTGTTTGTCAACTGTTGTTTTTCGTTAATAAGATACACAACTGTAGCACTTGATTTTACCCATGTTTGTACCATGAAGCCATTTTCTCCTACAATACAATAACAAAGGTTACAAACCTGATAATTTAAAGTAAAGCATAACTAATTCCTGACTCATGATGAGTAAATGCACAAATCAATGCAAGAGTTATTTCCCTTGTTCACCATTAAATACAAAATCCAGTAATTGAGTTTGTGAGAAGTTCCTATATAATTGTAACAGAGGTAAATATAAAGTATGTTTGGTGAATAGCTTGAATAAATAACAATTGTGAATTTTCTTAAAGATATAAAGCGTTCTCTATATTAAACCTTTGTTCTGAGACTCCCCCCATATTTGTTTTGGGCTTACTTTGAGGCACCAATAGTATGAGGTAAAGCGGCATTGCTCCAAGAAGCAAAGAGGAGATGACAGACGGTCGGCGGGGAAGGTAGTGCAGAATCAGCCAGCTAGAAATGTAGGCTGGTACCTCTACAGCTGCTGAGATGAAGCAGCTGATGTAGGGGTTAGCATGAAGCTGAGCTGTGTTCAGGGACAGGCCAAAGTATCCTGTTGTTGAACAGAAGCTGGGTAAGACAAAGACACCAACGGATCGGAGATGATTGAATATATCAAAAAAAGAACTGTTAAGAAAATAGAATGAATGTATATTTGAGTGATTAGAGAAAACAGATTGTTATTGTGTTGAATATGTGTTGTGTAATAAGTGATAATTATAATGGGTTTTTATTATGTGAATGTGCATTTACATGTACATGAGTTTGAGTGGGATGAGCCCTCTCAGACATGATAGTAACTGTTAATAATGCAGAAAAATCTCATTGTAAGTAAATGAAATAAAAAGCAGCATACTTACAACACAAAGCAGAAGATAAGTGTTGTGGTTCTCATGCTGCTTTTCCTCAGCAGGTCGAGGACATTGGCTTTTTCTATAGGCTGTGCGTTTTTCTCATCACCCTGCAGAATTGAAAACAAAATGAAACCCTGTGTTGTGGTTTCTTTCCTCAGTGGCCTAATATCTATATGAAAACAACAACATGCATTTTTCTAATTTAAATACAAATGTGTCCATCCAGAAAATGACAAATGGATATATCATATGGCGCTATGATGAGACAACATGGTAATGTTTGTTTAAAATGAGATTATGTACTAGTGCTAGCAGTGGGTTATATGATTTAAACCCCTTGCTCTGGGGTACATTTTGTGAATGGTCCTGCTAGCGTCTCTCCCTGCTCTGGATTTTTGGCTAGAACCCCTTCTCTTTTTAACGTGTGTGGTTGTGTACTGTATTTGTATTATTTAAAATTAGGACTAATTTCAAGGCTAATCGAGATGTTTTTGACCATTCATTTTTACAGACATATAACACATATGTTGCTTGTGAAATTACAAAATCACTTTAGATGTGTTAATACCCTGGCCTACAACATTCCTGACAATGATACACATAAGAAAAGTATTATAAAATGGAGTACCAACAACAGGAAAAGCAGATAAACTTACACTGTAATCTCGAAAGATGATATTCGGAACCTTAACTTTGTTCCACTTAGCAGCCTTTCTCACTATGGCCTCAGCCTCCTCCACTTTTCCCTGAGAGAGCAGCCAGCGAGGAGACTCTGGGATGAACCTGCGTCAGTGTTTCAGATAGACAGAAAGCAAGACTCGGGCTGGATCAGAGAGACTTTAAAGATAAAGTATAAAACATTTTGTATTGATAGTACAGCTGAATATAGACAGGAAAGAGGGAGAGCGACGGGAGAATTACACAGACATGTATTCATCTTGTACTTTAGTGTGACTATGGGAATACCTCTATAGGGAATGTATGTAAAACAGGCACAGCCATTGATTTACATTTATACTTTCATGTAATGCAACATACGAGAGGGAGGTAAAGCAGGCCGGATAAAGACGAAGCCAACATGAGAGATTTCCAATCCCTCAAAAAGTAAGCAGCAAGAGGTAGAATCATGTAACCAATGGCAAAGCCTAAACACGAGCCCAACGATGAGTAAAGGACTCGCACATTGCCAGTCAAGATCTCAGCGCCTGTGTGCAGAGATAAGAGAGAGAAGTTTTAACACATTCCTGCATTGGGTTTTATTTACGACAGAGGCACTATTATAGACTGTGACATGTACCCAGCACTAAAGCAGCCACAAAGTTGGACATCTGTCCCAAACCATTGAAGAAGAGGAGGATAGTAAACATAGTCCACGAAGTAGAGAAGACCCGAATGAAGGAAAATAACGTCTGAACTGCCATGGTTGCAAAGAGCACAGGTTTTCTTCCAAACCTATGAGACACAAGTAAACATAATAAGAAAAACAAATGCATAACCTAGTATATACTATATACACATATATGAACATAATAGTTTTTCTATCGAAGATTTGAGTGTAGATGTGCTCCACACAAACATGTGTGTTTACAGTTTTTGTGACATAAAAGAAAAAAAACCACTTAAAGTTACGTTATATACTATATCACGGCATTATTGAGCACCATGTAATCTGATGCTGGAAAAGCTTTTTATAATCTGTAAAACACAATAACACAAAATCCAACATAATGGGTTTTAGTAGCTGTGTATAAAATCATGCTCCATGTGTCTTATGCGTCAGTTGGAGTAGGCCACAGCAATGCTAGTAATGTATACATCACATGGTTCTGGTGTTTTATAGTACCGGTCTGACAGCTGTCCTGAGAAAAAGGATCCAAAAAGAACTCCAATGAAGTAAACTGTGGCGGTGAACGGCTGCTTCCACTCATCACTGCACACCAGGTCGAACTGGAATATCCAAACAATACCATGTTTAAAAATGACATTGTTGGCATTGTTCAGGGTATTTCCCCGGTAATGTTATGATCTCTCTGCAACTGGTTCTTTAAGACACTTGTTCGATGTCTGATTATATTTCGATGATGCTAAGTCTGTGTGGTCAAATGTGCCCCTGTAAATAACTACTGTAGCGGCAAGTGACACAGGGGACTTTTTTAGTACTTTTAATAATTATGTGACAATGATGCAGTGATCTTGCAGAGATACAGTCACAAAACTTGACAGATATGTAGTTTAGATTTTTTTTTAATTTTTTTTTTACATTTAACGAAGATATTCACTTTAAATCACAAGAATGAAACCATCTATCTGAAAGAGAGAGAATATTCTAATCTAGAGACAAACAGGCTGAACTTGCCAGTCTTGACTAGCAGGCGGAAAAACAAGACAATTTGCACAGCAGTCAAAGGGCACGCCTCGGGAAGAGAGTAGATCCCTATCTAGCACATTGAACTTCAGATGTTTATGTAAATTCATAATACATTTAATACTCAGTACCTCGCCCAAGTTAGGCAAACAATATTGTATTAAAGTCAAAAATAGAAGAAAACTGTTAAACATTAAGCTTGTTAACATTCTATGCTTACATTGTTCTGTGGAGGGATTATTAGTATAGGTAGTATAAGCAAGCATTAACATGTCTATTGACTGACAACAGCTGTGTTCACTCTGCTGTGCCAGGTGTGCTAAGTAGTGCTGTAGCGACGCGTCGTCGACTTCAAAATATCGTCGACGACATATTTCCGCGTCGACGCGTCGCCACCATAGACTGTATGACGCCACACACACGTGGGTCACCCAAAGCAACAAGCAGTTCGCAATCGCACTTCTAACACAATGGAGACTGAAACGGCTACCAACTCCTCCTCACAGGATTGCGCACGAAGCCCTCAAACGAAAACATCTCGCCCCAGGTCTTCAAAAGCATGGGAATATTTTAAAGTTAGTCCAAAACGCAAAGATATTTATATATTTATATCTCACTGAGACTGCTGCTTGACCGGAAGCAGCAGCTAGCTGTGGTGGCAACCATTAGCAGCTAGCATTTGCTCTCCGATTTAAAATGGAATTATGGATTATAAATTCAATAATTTTTTTATACATAGACGTTAAAAACCTATGGATTAACAGATTCAGCCGCGTTTTTTCTCATTTGAATGCCATTGAACACGTATTTTGATCAGATTGACAGCTACGGCGGTGAGACGATCTCCCTAGAAGCTCTGTGAAGGTACGTGTTGTGATGACTGTATTTGCTTCCCCTGTCGCGAGTCCGGATCACTCAGTGATGATACTATATACCTACATAATCTGTGGAGTCTCAGCTTTAATCGGATATATTGTATGTGCAGCTACGATAAGTAATAAGGGTACTTTTATCTTGAGATCTGTGCCAATGTCCGTTAGCATTTTTCGCTCAGGGGTCATTTAGATGCTTCTTATGAGATTTGTGTTTTGTTTTGGTAAACATGGTTTGTATCGTCAGTTAGCTGAGATTATTTCCGTTAATCTGGTATAACACATTAATAGGTTCTTAAATATTAAGATCCCCTGAGACACAGCATCGTGAAAAAAATTTTTTTACATTACGTTTTTTTTACATTACGTTTTTTATGAATTGAACAACAGAAAAATAATCGTTCGATTAGTCGACTAATCGATCAAATAATCGCCCGATTAATCGTTTTCAAAATAATCGTTTCCCCCCAGCACTAGTGCTAAGGCACAGAGGTTTTAGACAAATCCAAATGATATGAATATAACATTTAGAAAGCTGATTTAGTATACATGAAGAGAAAATGAAAAAAGCTTGCACTGAAGCACGTATAGTATCAACAATGGGATACAAAATGCAAGACATAAAATAAACTGACTGCGAAGGTCGGGTAAAAGGTTTGGCACGCACACACACCTCAGAGACTACGGTAGACTGGTAGATGTCTTTGCTGTAGCTCCACCCGTCCACACAGCCCTCCTGTTCCAGTTCGGTGACGTTGACGTCCCTGCCAGGAATGAAGCCCTGAGCAGAGAGGTTTCTGACAACATCCAGCCTGTACCTGCTGCACCTGCTCTGCTCCTGTTTCCCATTCACCACCTAACAGTCCAACCCAGTCTCACGGTATTTCGTGTTCACCAACACGATTTTGAATCTATTGATTCGTGTTCACCAACACGATTTGCCCCTTTTTTTTTTCGTGTTGCACAGCACGATTTTAAAAGCAATGTATTTTGCCTGCAGCACGTCTTTTTCTCCGGTCGGGTCGAGGAAGACCGGAAGCTGTGTGGTTCATAAAAACATGTTCTTACTCAATATCAAGCCACAGTTATTGCTTTTATTTGAAATCGTATAATTTCGGACTTTTGTTGCCGTCTGTGAGGAAAATAAATGGGGCTCAGAGCCTCAGAATACGGAAATCTGTATTTTTAAATATTTTTTTCCTTCTAATTCGATATTCTTTTCAAAATAACACACTGTTATTTACTCACCAATAACACACAATTATCCTTGCTTTTATTTATTGGTTTAATTCCATAATCTCGGGCTTTTTTGGCGTCCGTCAGGAACTGAATTTCAAAATAAAAATAACCGGAAACAGACGTAGGCCTATAAGGGACATTTCGAGCATCATTGCGATTGTCAACATTTCTGAGTTTAGGATGGCCGAAGACACTACACTACCCATAATCCCCAGCTATCGTTTAGGACTACAGTCCCCGTAAGGTTACGCAGAGCGTCAAACAGCTGTGTGAAATGGAACGAAACCACGCCAGACTATCCAAAACTGGAATCGAATGCCCCCCCAGAACTACACATGCTGGCTATTGTGTTTCGCAAAATGTTCTATGGGACGTCTCTACTGAACGCTTTCGTTTTTCCCACAATTAGAAGTTGCCAGTATTAAACACATTGGTGTTATCAAATGTAAAACATATAATTAATAAATGGGTGAAAATCGCTTGTGTCCATAATGCGCAGCATTAATACCCACATGACAGCTCATTGTTACTTTGTAATTATACTCCACTACAATTCAGAGGTTAACCTGGTATTTTTACTCCACTGCATTTATTTGAGTTACTTTGCAGATTCTGATTAATTATGTGAAATATAAACAACCCTTAAATCAGACTTTAGTTACACCTGAGTAAAATTCAGGTAAGGTGATTGTCAAGTGCCAACAATCAGGAGAGATATTTGATAGTTGGTGCTTGAGAAGACTAAACATGTATCTGCAATTGACATGAATGGAAACGAGTAATAAAGTATATTCATTACTCGTTATTCTCTACTAATAGTTAATTAAAGACTGTATATTATGGCTATTTTGCACATCCCTTTCAAGATTTTCAAAGGTGTATTGACATATCATATACACAACTACGGTGTAGTTATGCAATGAATGAAACACTTGGGTCACAGGTTCCTCAACAGTGCATTACAAGACATCTATCAATATGTGTGTACCTCCACCATTAAACTGTCATATTCTGCACATTTCTTATTCTATCTACTAGGGGTGTAACGGTACACGTACCCGTACCGAAATTATTCGGTACGGGCCCTTCGGTTCGGTACAGGTGTGTACCGAAGTGTACCGAACGAATATAACGTTAAACGTAAAAAATTGAGAACGTGAATAACTTTTTGGAAGTAATCTCAGGTGCTGCGTCGCAGCATTCAGAGTAATTTGCTCACATTGGGTTCAACGCGTCATAGAGCGAGCAAGTCATTTCATTGGATGAGAGGCATACTATGAGAGCTGGTCAGAGGGATGCGTTCAAATGTAGTCAGTAATTTGAGGTACTGTCAAAAATTAATGGCGAACGCAGATAAAGTTGAGCTCGAAAATCCTCCAGCATCATTGAAGTCTCCGGTTTGGGAACATTTTGGTTTCGCAGTTACGTACAAGGATGACGGACAAAGACAGGTGGACCGAACCAAAGCTGTTTGTCGGCATTGTTCAACTAAAATTGGTTACGCGGCTGGCAATACATCAAACTTGCACACTCTTGAAAAGGCATCACCCGAACGTGAATATCACCGGTACCAAAAGAAAAAAGACTGAAGTGCAAACCCAACTCCCACTAGCATTTAAGCCTCCACCACTCGCAGAAAGATCAGACCGAGCCAAAGCTATTACAAACACCAAATATCCTTATGTTGCCATGTTAGCAAAGCGCTACCTGGCTGTATCTGCTACCTCTGTCCCTAGCGAGAGGGTGTTCTCCACAGCAGGAGACATTGTTAGTGCCAGCAGATCTGCCCTTTCAGCAGCAATGTGGACAAGTTAATTTTTCTTTAAAAAAACATGAAAATACAATGAAAAGCTAGTCCTAATGTCAAGCTGGCTGCTTAGGTGCTAGTACAGTAGGCTACAGTTCAAATACAGATTATTTCAGTTCATCGAAATGCTGCACCTTAATGTTCATTTTATTATATTTTGTATTTATTTGAGTGAATATTCACAGTTTAATAATAATTAAAAACCCAAAACTAATAGTTTATGTTTTGTGAGTACTAGTACAGTAAAGTTCAAATACAGATTATTTCAGTTCATCGAAATGCTGCACCTTAATGTTTATTTTATTATATTTTGTATTTATTTGAGTGAATACATTATTCACAGTTTAATAATAATAATAAAAATATATATATATATTTTGTTTTGTGAAAAAAAATTCTGCTGTACCGAAAACGTACCGAACCGAACCGTGACCAAAAAACCGAGGTACGTACCGAACCGAAATGTTTGTGAACCGTTACACCCCTACTATCTACATACATAAGAGTATAATTCATATGTATAATATCAGTTAAAATAAGTGCTTCAACATAGTTAACATTGCAGGAAAGCAATATATTAAACGTTAAGTACTTTGTCAGGCTTAATATTTATCTGTAGATAGATACCCCCAAAGTTTTTTTCTTATTCAAAAGAAGACCTTAATCTGTTATTTAATGTTTAAATAAAGGTTCATTCGTTTTTCTGTTTTGCACCTCCTCCTATTAATATCTTTGTACATTCTGCACTAAACTGTTTTATTGTAGAGATCACTTATAGTATCTTCTTGATTTTTTATATTCTAAATTTATACTTTCCCCCGATGAAAGTATGTACTCTTAATATTTTTTTAAACAAATAAAACACAATAATTCAATAACGTGCTTTAACCACTAGGCGGTGCACACAAGGTACACACAGCCATAATAACTTTGTATTATTAGTGTAGGACACTTTTGTTTTCGTACAACATCTGAAAATGTGTAGTTTTATGCATGCTTTCATATAATTTTACAACATATTGCTATACTATTTCAGACTTAGTATTTACATTCTTACATTCAAAGAAAATCAGTAATATCTTTAAAAACTACAGTCCTTTTATATCAGCTGTGCACCGTTATGGTGTAAATATAACCTATCTGTGAATTAGATCAAATGTAAAAGTCAGCCGAATTAGTGTTGATACTGCAAGGAGACGTATTGTGTGAAGAGAAATTGAAGATGTTGTTTAATTGTTGAATATATTTATGATCCACGTCAAGTATTCAGTTTCGGCGGCATTTTCTCAGTTTTTCCAAAGGTCTTCTCATCAGGGCTCTATAAATAAAGAACTACGGCAGATCTGTAATATGTAATGCAGCCGAACCGTGTATTACAATGCCGTTATGTGATGACTTTCAAAGAGAAAAGCAAGAGCGCTCGGAATTAAGTATTATTTTATTCTTTTAAAAATGTTTTCCGGATTTCATATCATATAAACACCAAATCCCAGCATGCATTGCGGCTAAAACATCCAATAAGCGAGCTTAAAACCATAGCTGAGGATCTTGGGTAATCGCTCGAAATGCCTACGTCTGTTTCCGGTTATTTTTATTTTGAAATTCAGTTCCTGACGGACGCCAAAAAAGCCTGAGATTATGGAATTAAATCAATAAATAAAAGCAAGGATAATTGTGTGTTATTGGTGAGTAAATAACAGTGTGTTATTTTGAAAAGAATAACAAATTAGAAGGAAAAAAAGATTTAAAAAATACAGATTTCAGTATCCTGAGGCTCTGAGCCCCATTTATTTTCCTCACAGACGGCAACAAAAGTCCGAAATGATACGATTTCAAATAAAAGCAATAACTGTGGCTTGATATTGAGTAAGAACATGTTTTTATGAACCACACAGCTTCCGGTCTTCCTCGACCCGACCGGAGAAAAAGACGTGCTGCAGGCAGTAAAAATACATTGCTTTAAAAATCGTGCTGTGCAACACGGAAAAAAAAGGGGCAAATTGGTGAACACGAATCAATAGATTAAAAATCGTGTTGGTGAACACGAAATGCCGTGAGACTGGGTTGAACAGTCACAGTGATACAAAATGTGTTAGTGTTATCAGAAAGGTTGATTTTTCAGTGAAAGTATGCTTTTACTGTGTAATGTGTTATAGCGTGTAACACATTACACAGTGAAAGCCCCCACCCCCCCGGAAACACAGAGGGCCTCATCACATAACTTTGCGTGGCCAGGGGCAGCCCTGCGTGTAAGGACATGTGGGAAACAAACATTGGGCAATATAGCTGTGCACTAACAATACTCGTGATTGCCGACTCTACAGTGTACTATCACATAAGCATAGAGTGTAGCCACATTTAGTTTAAAAAGATAAATACATAGATATTTATATCCCTTGTCTTTTTACAAGAAACCATCCCAGTAGATGCGCCATCCAGTGCATGCTTAAACTATTAAGGGTAACCTTTTGCTGGTTGCAAATGATGTGCAAATAGTCTATCATTGAAAATACAAATAGGTTATGTAAAGTCAAATCAAGTTTTATTTATATAGCACATTTATAAGCGATTTTTGGTCGAGCCAAAGTGCTGTACATATAATAAAAATAGCCTACAGTAGAGACACTTTAAAAGCAAATACAACAGCACAGATTGTTCAGAATATCAGTATGAGAAAAACGACCCTCTCTTGCCTTAGACCTCACATCGTACAAGGAAAAACTTCCAGAGAAAACCCACAGTTTAAGGGGAAAAAATGGGAGAAACCTCCGGGAGAGCAACAGAGGAGGGATCCCTCTCCCAGGACGGACAGACGTGCAATAGATGCCGTGTGTGAATCGAAGAGATAATACATATTACAGCATATAGACCGAATGTTAGGAAATGCATGTGTATGTAATAAGAAGATGAATCCACGAGGATGTCAGCTACAATCCTGTGGAAGCCATCAGGGAAGCAGCATGACGAGACCCAAGGCAGGACCGCAGAGACAGGTTCAGCCACGACCCGAAGTCCACGACTTAATCCAGAACTCAGGATAGAGGATCCAAGACACAGGACTACAGCAAGAGGATCAGCCTCGACTCCGGATCCCGGCGTAGATATAGATACAAAACAAGAAAAAAGATTTGTCTGGGTTAATCGGAACAAGAGAATACACAGACACAGACAGAGAGGGAAAAGGTCATTGGATAAAAGTTATTCTTGATAACCCTCTAAAAAGATCTCATGAAGTTCCCCACTCAATCTATCAAGACCTGAGTAGTTCTATTAAATATAGGACAAGAAACAGAGATAGGGAGCACAACAACCTATCTCTTCGTCAGATGCACTCCCCCGCTTATCTAAGCGACTCTGTACCCCGTTACCCTCTACAAGGCCATAGACCAGCAGAGAGAAAATGGGGGGTGGGTAAGGGTAAGGATTTTTAAGAATAAACCGCAAGGGTCTAAAGGGAAAAAAAATGAAATATAAAGTACTATATTTTAAGTAATCCTATCTACTATTCCTATATTTCAATAATGTATAAACTATTTAAAAAATACTTTATGAAATCCTATGCTATGTTATAAATATTAAAATAAAGAACTAAATGAATAAATAAATAACTAAATAAATGAATTAGTGCTGTCAAAATTATCGCGTTAACGGCGGTAATTAATTTGTTGAATTAATTGCGTTAAAATATTTAACGCATTTAACGCATGTGCAGAATGGCCCGCCCCATACATGCCACCAGTGGCAGCGCCAGGGTATGGCTGGGGAATATGGAACGCCGTTTGCGCCACAATTTGCGCGTTTATTCGCACTTAGTTTCGCGCGGATTAACGGGGAGGTCCGTTTTATAAACGGGGAGGCCCGTTTAATAAACGGGGAGGTCCGTTTAAGTTCAAAGTCTCAGTAACCAATCAGTGAAGAGCAAAACCAGACCAAAGCAATCTGTAGATGAAAAGTTCGTGACATTATGAGGCTGTAAATTGTACGTTATTCCAGATTCAGGGGACTATGTATTAATTTGGCTTTCAATATAATAAATATATCAATCAATATAACCTGCCTTCATTGTCTTATAAAAAAAAATCGCCTTACCTTACTGAAGGGTATGTCTCCTTAAATCACCTTTTAAATGTACTTCTTATAACATGGCATGGTGTAAAATATCAAAATGTTCAGTCTCTGGTCTTGCTAGAAATGCAATGTCACTCACCTTAGAGCACTGTCTTATGAGATACTTAGCTGAGAAATCAGATTTTTGGAAAACTTAAAAACTCTTGTGAAAACACAGATGTACTGATGTCATCCATTTTTTTTGGTGTTTCAGATTTGGTTTACCAACGTTTTTGGTTCACAAAAGTAGTGAAATATATGAATTACACTATAGGCCTATGTGTTGTTCATGTCTAAAATGAAAATGTGTAAATTAGAATTTGGAGTAAAATAGTTCTCTCACTCTACTTTCACCACAGAAAAGTTACATCAGGACTGATTCATGACTTCATATTCCATACTGAGGTTCATGTGATGTGTACAAATACAAATTGAGCATTACAACTTTTTTTTTCAACCAACTATTTATGTTAACATAAGAAACTGTAAAATCTCAATATTTACAATACAGGGTTCATACACTTTTTCACCAATGATTTTAAATGACTTTTCCATGACCAAAGAAATGACTCTTTCATATTCGAAATATTGAATATGTTACAACACAGTTTGCATTTAGCACGTCTTGGGTCAATGTCTTTTGATAACCACAATTACTTATTCTTTAGAAGCCATACATTGTTGAAACTGCACTTCGCTGACATCTTTATATCAAATAGTAGCTCCTGTAGACTAGAGGGCATGATTGTAAACATCTATCACCAGCAAAATACTGCCACAGTTGCCATTTTACGTTTCATTATACGATACAGTATTTATTATCATTATAGTATTACTATTTCGGCGATTAGATAACATATAAATTATATTTGATGCAACTTTAGTTATATTTCCATGACTTTTCCAAAACTTTGAGAAAAATATTGCATTCCATGACTTTTCCAGGTTTTTAATGACTGTACGAACCCTGACAATATCAGAACTTTCTCAACCAACTATTCATTATAAATGTAAAGGCAGGGGGAGCAGTGCCATGGTCTTTGTCTTTCTTCCAAGACAGTGGGTCTGGCTGCTGTGTAGGTGGGGGTGATGGTGCATGTGCTGCTGGTGGCTGTGTCGGCGGGAGGGAGGTGTGCTAGGCGAGACTTGGCTGGGTTGATCGTGATGGCTGTGGTGGAGGCCTTTTGTACCGAGGTGTATCTTAATCTTGTGGCAGGCACAGATGGAGGTGGAGGCTGCTGTAGTGATGCTGGTCCTCTGGTCCTTGGTGGTGATGGCTCTGGTGAAGGCCCTTGAGCCACGGTAGATCTTGACCTGGGTGCAGGCACAGATGGAGGTTCTTGCTGCTAGGCCCAGGCAGCTGTGAAATCGGAAAGAAATGTAGGACAATAATTACTACTAAGTTCATTAAAATATAAAGTTCAAGTGGAATGTTTCTCAAGCACAAATAACAATGCACAACTCAAAATAAAATGGGGAGGTGGGACAGGAGTCTCTCTCTCTCTCTCTTACAACCTATTTAACTAAACCCACACAATGAAAGTACACTATTACTGTAATATTTACATTTACCTATCTTCAAATGGATCCTTGTTGTTGTTGCTGTATTCTCCAGGTTCTGATGCTCCATCTTCACTACTGCTAGTGTTACAAGTCCGCTGTGCAGAGCTGGTAATCAGATAATAAGCCTGTTGAACAGGAGAAAAGAATGAAGCAGAGGGAAAGTTGCTGCCGTTTGTGTGGTTGTCCTAGCCAGAATTGATTAAACACATTAATAAATTCACTTACAAATTATATCCGTTTTCTCTATTTATGTATCTCTGCGTTGTGTTGTGTGGTCGAATGAATATGACTTCCTTCTTGCAAACCAGCTTTATTATATGTGCAAACAGAATATAAGGAAATGGCTTCACCAGCTTTCTACCTCAATACTTCTCCTCAGTGAGGCCTGAAGCTAACTGAGAATGTAAAAATACATTTAGCCAATCAAAATAACTGTATGTCTGACATATTTCGTTTTCTAATAAAAAATGGACATAAATACAGATGCCATATGACTTTCATGAAGGATTAAAGCCTTTTTCATTTACAGTATATAATACAGTGATAACAGATAACACACACAACCCGACTGTACTCACTTTAACATGGCTGTTGTACAGGCACAATATTAGCATAGCATTAGCGCTTTAGCATTTAAATAATATGAACAATTATGACCTCAGACCAGCATTTCACATATTTATACAAACAGAATAAACTTGAAATGTAAGCCAGACTAGTGCAGGGGACTCATACACATAGTAGAGCTACATTATTCAGGGAGCAACAGCCTGTGTTAAAGAAGCTAGCGGACGCCATTAGCCACACGCTAGTAGTGTAGCTCACAGAATGACATTAAACTACACATAAAACAGTTTCAAAGACACTTCTTAGATCGAAATATGACATAATCTGTGTACACACTACTAACCTGTTGAACAGGGGAAATGAATGAAGCGGAGGGAAAGTTGCTGCCATGTGTCTGTCGTCTGTCTGTCATGCCGTTGTCAGTGTCACTACCCGATCTGCAGTGCGCATGTGCGAGATGGTCCGCCATATTGGACAACTCCGGACGGCAACCCAAGATGGACACTTGACACAGTGGCTTTTAGCAAAGCTCAAAAATAAAACGAAGTTACATTCATTTCTCACTTATTCTGACAATGTACTTAACCCCAAATAAAAGAACCCAATAAAAAGAGTTGTTAAATAATAGTGAAGTCACGTTGTAATAACAATAACTAATCTCTCTCGAGTTTTCCTTTTGAGCTTTGCCAAAAGCCACTGTGTCAATGTTGTCCTACTTGGGCTGCCGTCCAGAGTTGTCCAATATGGCGGACCATCTCGCACATGCGCACTGCAGATCGGGCAGAGCTGCAAATCGGGCAGTGACAGTCATTAGAGGCTTCTCAATACTCAAATTTCCCCTCCTCGGTTCCCCTCCTCGAGACTTAGACCCGCCCACAGGAGATGCGAGCGGAGGACCGAGGAGGGGAAGCAGCAGACGTTTAAAGAAATGAGAACTCCTCTCCTCTGAGCGGTCATATTAAAGCGACGTCCGTTCATTATTACGTGGCAACAGCTGCATCAGCTGTCGAGTGTTTTGTCATAGCGCTGTATTTTATAATCTCTGTTAGATCAGCTGAACATTGTTCCCCGCATATTTACTTTGAATTAATTGAGAGTGCCGTATACCGTATAATGAGACAATAACAGGCACAGATGCGCACACAAATATATTTATATAAATATATACAATTTAAAGTATGAGAGCTCAGCACTCTCATAATAACGTAACACAATCAGAGACTGGATATATTCCCCCCCTCTCTTTGGTCACTGAAATGGGGAATTGAAATTACGGGCCAAAAGTTGTATTTACAAGTATTAACTTGTAATAATAATAAGCCACTTACAATTTTCCGTGAGATCAGGGAGCAGATATAAGATGGAAGTTTCCCTAACATACAAAGCCATGTTAGGGAAACTTCCATCTTATATCTGCTCCCTGATCTCACGGAAAATTGTAAGTGGCTACTGCCTGAGATCGAATGCATTTTATTAAATGTGCCAACTGCTAGGACTGTCTTAGGGAAGACAGCTTTTCGATGCGCAGCTCCTCTGTCTTGGAATAGTCTGCAAATTAAATGGAAACTGAACAATCTGGTGCCACTAAATGTTTTTAAAGCTCGGTTGGATGCTACTCAATCGGAAGCTATAGGTACCTGTTTATGTGGATAATTATGTAGGCTAAATGATGCTGTATGATGTCCTTTTGTTCTATTTATGTTTTTATGTTTCATGTGGAACTACTTGAGCAGGTCTCCCTTGAAAAAGAGATCAATGATCTCAATGGGATTTATCTGTATAAATAAAGATTTGAAATTAAATTAAATTAAAAGTAAGCAGAGGACACCAAACCAACTGAGACCCGTCTGTCCGCCGCATCTACGCACTGTACAACACACACCTACATACTGTACCACACACACACACACACACATACACACTGCCTACAACACACACTTACAGCTCCTAAAGCATAATCAGGCTACAGCCGTTGTGTATTTTATTATGTGACGCACTAAATGGTCTTAGAAAAATATCGACTCTTTGTACTACAGCAAATAAAGAGAGTAATGTAGGCCTGTTATACTGAGTGATATTGTACACTGCTCTGCTTTCTGCACGGACCTCACAGCTGTTCTCACTGTAAACATCGCAACGCGATGAAAGCAGTTTCTAAAATAATATCCAGAGGATGCATGCAGAGCTGGCATTGGCTGAGATAAGTCCGGCCGTGCGTCACGCCTCCACCGTTCCCGGAAATGCATCCGCGGAGGAGCCGTGGAGGAACCATCAGTGTATCCTCGGTTATAGCTCCTCCAGAGAGCCTACTCGATGCTCGATGCTCGGTCCTTGGTGTGCATTTAGAGAAATGAGACGTCCTTCAAAATGGCGTGCTGAAATTCATTTCCGGGTCACTACCGGAGGACCGAGGACCGAGGAGTCGAGGAGGGGAAATTTGAGTATTGAGAAGCCTCTAGTGTCACTACCCGATCTGCAGCTCTGCCCGATCTGCAGTGCGCATGTGCGAGATGGTCCGCCATATTGGACAACTCCGGACGGCAACCCAAGATGGACACTTGACACAGTGGCTTTTAGCAAAGCTCAAAAATAAAACGAGAGAGAGATGAGTTATTGTTATTACGACGTGTCAGAGTAAGTGAGAAATGGATTTAACTTCTGTTAGACAGCTATCATACTGAATACATATTTACTGTGAATGTGTGCAAAAATGTATGGCATATGGCTGTCTAACAGAAGTTACATTTATTTCTCACTTATTCTGACAATGTACTTAACCCCAAATAAAAGAACCCAATAAAAAGAGTTGTTAAATAATAGTGAAGTCACGTTGTAATGACTGTCACTACCGGACGGCAACCCAAGTGTCCATCTCGGGTTGCTGTCCGGAGTTGTCCAATATGGCGGACCATCTCGCACATGCGCACTGCAGATCGGGCAGAGCTGCAGATCGGGTAGTGACACTGACCAAGCCCCCAGGAAGTGCGCCGGACTCAGATGAAAATATTCGTGCTGGCCAAACGGCGGTATTACACTTCCGTTTGGTTGCCAGGCCCGGAAACACTTTTTCCCATTGACTTACATGGGGAAAGAGTGGTCTGTAAATCCATCCATCCATCCATCCATCTTCTTCCGCTTATCCGTGGTCGGGTCGCGGGGGTAGCAGTTCCAGCAGAGAGCCCCAAACTTTATTTTCCCTGGCGACATCAACCAGCTCTGACTGGGGGATCCCAAGGCGCTCCCAGGCCAGCGAAGAGATATAATCCCTCCACCTGGTCCTAGGTCTACCCCTTGGTCTCTTCCCAGCTAGACGTGCCTGGAACACCTCCCTAGGGAGGCGCCCAGGTGGCATCCTAACTAGGTGCCCGAACCACCTCAACTGGCTCCTTTCGACGCGAAGGAGGAGCGGCTCAACTCCGAGTCCCTCCCTGATGACCGAACTTCTCACCTTATCCCTAAGGGAGACACCAGCCACCCTGCGGAGAAAACCCATCTCGGCCGCTTGTATCCGCGATCTCGTTCTTTCGGTCATGACCCATCCTTCATGACCATAGGTGAGGGTAGGAACGAAAAT